TTTTAAATATCAGAAGTGTCGAGGACAAATTCATGGTGAAAAGCTTTCACCTTAATAAATCCTAGGTTAAATATGAATCAGTGGAGCTAGTATATATTGAAGCAACTTTGTTTGGGTTAGGACCAGATTTTATATATTAGGGAATCGGATTCAGATCTGTACATATTTTGTTGGATTGAAAAACTTGTCTTTTTTTGTTGTCACCAAATTTTAAACTGACGTCTTTTTGTAATGGGTTCTTCAAACAATATATGTGATTCATCATGACTTTATATATATTTATTTATTATATAATGGAGATATTCTCAATCGTTTCATAATATTGGTCATATGATAAAGTGATATAGACCACACAAGTGAAAGTATTTGCACCAACATATAATATGGTCCATACATACTTTTTCTAATCATTTTATGCTTTACAATTCTCTGTTCGAATAACTATATATATTCAAATATGTATGTAGGCAAGGGGATATATTTAATCTACCAATCGTGATATTTATTAAGAATGATTCTAGTTATCAAATGATTGAATAATAATCGGAGTAATTTACTTATAATAAGCGGTTTAATTATCATTTTTCACTTATAAACTACAAATATTAAACAAACAATCGACTTCAAATAAAAATGTAATATACGCCATTGCTGACAAAAAATTCTCAGCAAAGTTGAGATGTGTTTCAAAGAGAGAATTTTCTAGGAAGATGATTTATGGTAAAAACTTATTTGTATGGTATGTTTATACCAAATTAACGTAACTTATCGTAGTTAAGTGATTTAATGAAATAACTATATAGATTATGTAATCAAATTAAAGTCAGGGTCGACTCAACAACATTGAGGGCCTAAAGCGAAACTTAAGAGAGGAGTCCTAATATATATTTTTTTTCATCATATATACTTTTATTTAAAATCTACTTCTCTAACTATTTTAGATGTGAAGTCATTAGGTACTATTTTATAATCAATTTGTTTTAATAATTCCTTTTCAAATGGTAATATAGCTAATTCATTCATTCTCTCTTGAGACATTGTTGATCTTAAAGAAGATGTAATGAATTTTAATTTCAAAAAAACTTCTTTCGGCCGAGGCAACAGTTACAAGAACTGTTAACAATATTATAAGTAATATGTGTATTTGAAAAAGAATCAAGTCTTTTTATTTGATTGAGTGTTTTCATTAGATCATTATCTTCTACTTGCATTATTTCCTTCAACACTTTTAGTTCAAAAAATAAATCTAAACCATCAATATCAGAATAACTATTTCATTTTAAAGAAAGTTAAAGGTTAAGACAATATTTTTTAAAATTCTCATCATCTAGTGATCTCAATATTTTACCACTAAATAAGAAATCAAAAATATTTTCATATGCTTCAATTGGTTCAAATCTATTTTGAAGTGAAAAAATAATTTGATCTACTCTACATATATAAAGCAAACAACTAAAAGATTCTTCAAGGAACTTTGTGATTTTGCTATCCATATTTTCATCAAATTGTATCTTATGAAATTCGGGTTTATTTTCATCTCAAATGCAATTTCATTAGTAGAAATCATAACTCTCATAGTACATATATTTTATTTTATTTTAAAATAACATATATAAGTAAGAGTAATTGTTTTTTTAAAAATGGCCCCCCCAAAATATATGAGGCCCCAAGCGATGACTTTAGTGGCCTAGGGGTTAAGACGGCCTTGAATTCAAAGTTAAATAAATATTTATGTATATATATTTATACACGTGACATGCATTTATTGATTTGGTAAAGCCATTTGATATTGATAAATGTTTACCAATGATTTAGTTCATTAACAAGAATATCTAAGAAGTAATTATCGCTTCAATTAGGTAAATATCCCTAATAAATCTCAATATTTCAAGTGCATGGGACCTGAATCTATAAATGATAGTGTGGCCCTTTGGAAGTCAAAGCCTGTGCAATAAAAATTTAAGTTATTGTATATTAGTGTAATTGTCATCTTACAGTCATCAATATTAAAAGTGATAACAATAACAATTAGTAATTGTTTCATTGATAGTTTAAAAAAAAAGATTGACTAATAAATAGTTTAAGACTTTAAGGGGGTCCTTAAGGGGTCAATTTATAGTTTAATCTTGTATCTAATTTAGGATAGAAAAATTAAACTCTACCAATGAGGTTTCAATGGAGGAAATAAGTAGCTATTTTAACACCAACTATTAATATTTAGTCACTCTTTGACGCAAAAAGTTTTGAACCAAATGCCCCCAATTAAACCACGAAACAACTCCATCAAATAATGCTACTATTCAAAAGATTAAAAAGTGGAACTCAAGGAAAAATTCATGCGGTTCAAACTTTATAAATTCAAAATCAAGAAACGATTCAATATGATAAAAATAAATAATATATCTGATCAGAGTTCATATCATTTGAATTTTAAAAAAAATTGTGATAAATATTTTAGAGCGAAGGAAGTATATTGAAATTTAGCGGTTGAACTCTATCAAAATATATAATTTAAGTTGGTGAAGCTTTAGTTTTCTTTCTTTAAAAAAACATAGACATTTTGATTACGTATTTGTAACTATTGGGTTCTGATGGGTGATTAGGGCGTCATGCGGAAGCTTGCAATTTGCAAATCATATGGTTGATAAATCAGATAACAAAAACTTATACTAAAAATCAAAATATTATTATATCAAAACTAATATAAAGAAAAACATTGAAACTTTAGAGAGAATAAATCTCCTCATAAACAAGACTCTTAAACGTCTACATTGTGGATGTTATTGTTGTTGTGTTAGAAGAAACAAACCTATATTTATAGTCCTAAAACCTTTCCTACTAGAAAAGGAGTTCTAAAAGGAGAGAATAAACCAAATATAAAATAATATTATGTTTTCCTTAAAAACATTTATGGTAATGTTTTGTTTTTTCTTTAAGGAAAAATAAATCTTAAATTATGGTAAGAAAATCAGGGCAAAACCCTAACAGTAACAACACACGATTAATAAAATCGATGGAGTAAGAACAACGCCTCTTTTGGTTTTTCTTTCTTTGGGAATAATTAACTATGTGATTAGTGAATTGTCAATACTTCCACGTGAGGAAAACATTTGGATTAGTGCAATAAAATGGTTTATTTTGCAGATAATTAATAAAACACATTAATTAGTCAATAAGACATCCTTTATATAGTATTATTAGTCCTCTTAAGCAAAGCCAATAGGCAAAACAGACGTCCATAATAAAAGAACTAATTAAGGTACTACACTACTACTATTAAAGTCAAAACAACACATTCCTAAATCCTACCGACAAGGGCTGATTAATTCTAATAAGTGGCGAAGTTAGAATTTTTAATTTTTTGATTAAGAAATTTAAAATATGATGAAGTACATACAAAAATTAAATAGAGTTTAACATCTATCATAACATATAAATATAATCATACATAAATAATATAATTTCTTGTCGAAGACATTTGTCTAGACATGATTTCATGGCCAGCTACGATAATGAGGTGCTATTATATAGGTATACTGACATTTGATGTTTAATCTCAATTCTAAATTAAATGGAGTTGAACATTTTCTCGATCTTACCTTGCTCCACACTTAATTGTAATAAAGCGATAAATACTCACTTTTATTTTTAATCAAAGATTTTGAGTTCAAATCTTATATATCTACTCAAAAGGTCATGTGGATAAGAATGTGTATACCCTACATGCCCTCCTAGAGACCCAAACCATTGTGATTTTGTACTGGACATATTGTCGAGTCAAGCCTTTATTTGGTACATATTCAAATCACCATTGTTAGAAAATATTTTATTTGATATATATTTAATTCGTCTTTATTAGAATAATTTATTTTTTAGGTAAATTAAATTCGATCAATTTCATTAGATATCACTATCAATATAAGTATCAGACATCGCGTATCAAAATATAACCGTTCCTATGCACCTGGTAGTGGCTAGTGTATTAGGAGCAGTACACTTTCTTAGTTTGCCCATACCGGCCAATCTTAATTCTCAACAACTCAGATTCCTCGTGCCATTCCGCTCATATTCCCCAAGTAGATAAGAGCTTTTAACTTACATAAATGGATATAATATAATTCTTTTTTAATTCTAGTAGCTCATTTTTATGTATTATAAAACATGCAAATTGCTTTATTTTAAAGATAAATAAAAAAAATTAATAAAATATTACTAGTGGTAAGAATAATTTAGATACTTCCCATAGTAAATTTATACACATGTAAACTAAAAGGAGAGTCATTAATGGACTTGATTTGTTCTTCGGCAATTCATTTAATTATTTCACAAGAGTACGGTTGTACGAAGTTTTATTTATTTATATAGTAATCTAACTTATCAATACGATTATTGTATAATCAAAGCTAACACACATTATGAATTAATTGTTAGCTAAATTCGGAAAACATTGGAATATAAAAATCCCAACAAGACTCAAATAGACCACATTTTGATAAAGTCAGCATTACTAATTTCTAGCATATACATAATTAAGCATATAATTAGAGGGCAGAAGGCAAGACATAGTCATATCGTACGAACACTCATAATATATCTTGAACACGTATAATTAGAGGGTAGAAGGCGGGACATAGTCATATACGTGTAAAGCATTCGTACGAACATTCATAATATATCTTGAACTAAAATTATTATTGAAATTTCTTACGATTATTGAATTACTTGATAAACTTTTTGACTCTAGTATTAAATATCGGAGGTAATCAAAAATCGAAAAAGGCTGTATTCGGCCTTATATAAAATGCAAAACACCTTCTCCAAATAATTGTCGTTACATTAGCACTAACTACCAAATTAATATGACAAATAAACGCCTTCTGGAAAGCAACTTCAGCAGTAACAAATAACAATAATATTATTATTAGTAGTATTAATTTACTCTTAACCCTTCAATTTTAAAATAATTTTTGTTCTATGGGTTTAATTTTCTCTCTCTATCTCTATCTCTATCTCTATCTCTCTATTTGTGACGATTGCTTATCGAGATTTCAACTGTCCGTTGAAGATTGAAGAAGCTTCCTTTATTTTTCTTCAACTCTTTTTAAAGACCCATTTTCTGTCTGTATTCCTCTCTATTTATTGTCTTTGTCACTTTTTTTTTTCTTCCACAAATGTTCCAAGATTGAAATTTGCCAGCTGATTTTACAACCAAGTTGAGGTTGAGTTGATTCCTTTGTATTTGCCTTTTCACAGAGGATTTGGGTTTTGCTTAATTAAGCTAAAGAGTTTCTATAGTAGGGTTTATTTGCTTCATTTTGAATCAATTCCCAGAAAATACGAACCCCATCTTGTTGTTTTTTATGGAAAATTTTGGCTCCTCTGTTTCAAACCAGGTATAATTTTCAATAATACTAAGTGGGTCTCATGATTTCATTGTTTTTCGATCATATTTGTGCAAAATCTGAGCTGAGCTGCGACAGAATTTGATTTGATTTGATTTTGGAAGCTTTAATACAATTGAGTTGAATTGGGTTTCTTAAATTCTCATGCTTATGGAGTTTTGGTAATAGGGGGTTGGCTGTTTAGCTGCTCCACTATCGACCCACTTGGGGATAATTTGATAAATTTGAACTTATGAGCTTAGTGCGCTTGGTTCAAATTAGTAGTACAAGTTGGGTTTTGCTTATATGTTCGTTTGCTTTATTAAATGGGGTTTGCAATTCTTTACTCCAATGTTACGTGAATTAGAAGTTTGTGGTTCTCTTTCTTTCATCTTGCTTTTTGGTTCCCCTTTCGAGAGAAGAAAAAGGTACTTTTTTGTGACTTTTTTGTAATTGGGTTCAAAGCCGCCAACTTGTTTGATAAATCTGTCCAAGTTCATTATTGAAGGAAGAATTTTAAGTTTTTATTAGAGGTAGAAACACAAGTCTGGTAATGTAGAAAAACCAATGCACCTGTCACTTTTCATGCATTTCTTGTGATCTCCTTTTTTCTCTTTATTTTTACTGCCTGTTTGCACCTATACTCACATAAATATTCTTTACTTATGATGCAGAAATTACTAGAGAAATTGACCTATTGCCTAATCTGCTGATTATAAAACCAGGGTAAGCTGGTTTGCTTTTATATATTCAGTTTACACACCTTTTGTGCATATTTAACAGAAGAGTTTGTTGACTTAACAGATGGTTCTAGTAGAAGTCTATGGGAGATAGTACTCGTGAGCAGCCAACTGTTTGTTGGTTGCTCATTTATTGTGATTTTATTTCACTTTATGACTAGTTTCCAGCCTGAGTCATCCAAATTTTCTTGTGATGATTTTGCAGGGTTATTCATGTTAGAAATTTTTCCTAAATGTGTTCACGATAGAGGTCGTTATTTTTATTGTCATAATTTTTGTCTTATGACCATTCTGTAATTTATGGTAGTGCTCTGGCAGATACGAGAAGATTTTAGGATATGGGATGCTTTGTTTCGACGCCGCAGGATACTGGTGGGAATAGAAGGCGGCCAGGAAACATTGGCGAGGTGTCTGTATTTGTTCCCGGATTACGTATCCCTAAGCCAGTTGATTTATCTCTTGCACTTGGTGATCAATTGTCGAAAACCCTGGTGGAGCGCCTTTCCGCTCTCAGGACCAGAATAGTGGTTATGGCAGGGCAAGAAGCTCCCACAATTACAAGGACAAGAAGGAAAACTGCTACTCAGCATGGTAAGTTGCAGAAGAAGCATAGATATATCTTTCGGAATTTGACCATGTTTTTGTTTCTTTCCTTACATGTGGATATGATGCATAGCAGCTATTTCTTGCAGGAGGTTCAACCCTTGCTGATCTATTGCAGGCTCTCGAAGATTATTTGCCTGTTCTTTTGGGGCTAGTTAAAGATGGTACATACTTTGGCTGCTATCTCGTTAGCATTTGCACTTTGTTGATTTTAATTGTGAGATGTTGTCTTCTTGGCCATTTTCAGGTAGCACATTACAGCATAAAGTGCAATTTATTTGGGTCAATCAAGAGGATGATGCAGAGGTCAGACTAGAATATATTTTCTTTTCATGTGTAGTCTTCTATATGGTTTTGCCACCATGAAGAAGAATTGTCTTATTTGTCAAAATATTTCAGGAAACTGCAATGTTTAGTGCTTGGTATGAAATACTGTCCGTTTTGCACTTGATGGCAACACTATCATTATCGCAAGCTAACTTGCTGCTTCTTCCTAGAACATCTCTTGATGGTTATTCACCAAAGGTATCTGAAGGTGGGTATTTCTCCCATGTTTAATTTTGCAGATCCAGTAAATGCAAAGTAAATGTCTTGACGTGTTCTTTTAATTTGTAATACTTGTTTCTTGGCAAAGTCTCTAAACTTCTCTTGGGACTCATCTATCTTCAGTTTCAAATTTTTCTTTCTTTTTCCTCATTTTATGTTTAACATCTGACAGAGAGCAGGCGATCTTCTGTTGATATTTTCCTAAAGGCTGCTGGATATCTTGATTGTGCAGTTCGAAATGTTCTTCCCCAGTTGCCAGCCGAGCAAAGGTTTTGATACCTATGCAATTCAAATTAATTATGTCAGGGGTTAGATTTTCACTATCATTTGCTTTGTATTTAGGAGAAACCTGCCGGTAGACCTCGCTGAAGGAGTTCTGCGAGCATTGTGCCTCCAAGCATTAGGGCAGGTAATAGCACATTCATAGCCTATCTTGTTTCGGTTGCATATTTGAAAATTTAAAATGCCCAAATAAAACCAATACTTTTTCCATGCTCTACTGAATATTCTCTCTTTCTGCATCAATGAGTACTCAATGATATCTTAGATTGTTATGGGTGAATTTGGACAATGTAATTATATGAAGAAAATAAATCTGCTTCTAGTGATGAACCTTTCAGCTTCTCTTTACATGACTACCATATTGTTAACATCCCAGAAAAGTCGGTAACATTCAAATAGTGCGCCTAAGACATCACAATTATTGTGTGAGGGCTCAGATAGGAATTTCTATATTAATCGATAGGATTTGTAGAAACTATCTATGTCCATATGTAGCAGATTTTCTGAAGAAGAAAATGATTATTTTTCATGGATCGACTCAATAAACACTGGAATGAAACATGAAATATTCATGCAAGGTTAACACTGTGCTATCTTGTCAATCTCGAAATCCTAATTTTTGTAGTCTCTGTCCTAGTGTGTAGTTTTGCTTTTGCATTGGTTGTTAGTGGAACTTGACATGCCGTTACCTATGCTTTCAAGGGATAGAAGCATACTCTAATGACACTAATTAACAAACTGCAAGATATGTGTTTAGTATCTAGAGACAGCAAAAGCAATCTTACCTAGGCTTTCAAGGATGGAAGCATACTCTAATGCACACTAATTAACAAAGTGCAAGATTTGTTTTTAGTAGCTATAGACAGCAAAAGCAATCTATTTTTCAAAGATTTATTGTTATAACTGTGAACAATTGTGAAGAGGATCTTCTGGATACATGCTTAGTATCTAAATGCAGCACAACAACTCCATTTGGCAAATTTCTGTTATAGAAATGTGCATGTAGTGAAAGGAATCATCTGAATTTTAGGGACCTAAATTCAGCAGACTTTCGTGCATTTAGCCATTTAGATTATGTCAGGCTAGTTCTAATATCATTCTATCCCTGAGCATTAGACACATGCTTGTTATTTTGGCTGTAATATGGTGTTGTCCATTTGCTTCCTTGTGCTAATAGTTATTGTTGAATGAAACTGTTAGCTGTTGCTAAATATCTAGTTAAGAGAATGTGTACTATATGGATTCAATTTTCTTCCCTATCTGATGTTACTGTCACTGGTGATCTTAGGCCGTTGATATTCAACTTGGACTTGCAATTGACAGTACTAAAGCAACACTGGCTGTCAAAAGAAGGCTTGCTTGTGAGATGGTAAAATACTGGCAGCAGGTACTGAATCCTCTTGCCAAAGCATACTCGCTTGCTTTGTTTGATAGAGAAACCATATGAATCCTCTTCTATATGATTCTTCTATAATCTAGTTCATTTCATTCCAATGCTAATTAAATTTGGGCATCTCTGAATGTCACACTTATTGCGATACGGGTAACTTGTTTATTCCCAACTAGCTGGCATTGGGTATGCGGATCATTTGCTTCCATTGGAGTCCTTGGTCCTTTAAACTCCTTCCCCTAACATAGTAATAGAAAGAGGAAAATAAAGCTGTGTTACTTTACTCCAGGTAGTGTCTGAGATATCAACTACTTTGTTTTTTTGTTACCATGCAGGCTCAAGATAACATCATGAACCTTCCATTATCAAATGGTTGGGGAGAAAAGCATAGGCTTTTCGTGAAGTGGAAATATATTGAAGCCAAGGTATCTTGTGATTCACTTTCTTGTGTTTACTTCTTCAATTGCAACCTAAAATCCTCTTAAGTATGTCATGGAATGGGTATTTATAGCATAAAGTAACTATGATTCTTCAACATTCCCTGCTATAGCATGAAAGCTTTTGTCTCTACTCCATTTTCACTGTTTTGATTAGAATTTCTCCAAAGTTTAGGGGTTTTGGAGAATGGAGACTAAGACTAAGAGTTTAGGGGTTTTGGAGACTAAAAAATGTCTCTACTCAACTTCGTAATCCATGTATTCATGCTGGTCTTGGCAAAGTTTCTGCAGCTTCTTTGCCTTCTAAATCTATTACCTTATTCTTACCACAAGTTTATGCATGACACATAAAATTCTGTGTAGGCTTCAGCATACTATTATCATGGTCTAATCCTTGACGAAGGAAACACAGAAAAATCTCATGGAATGGCGGTAGCTGCCCTGCAAGCAGCTGATGAGTATCTTAAAGAAAGTAAGAAGGCATGTGAGGCTTTCAATGCAGCCATTCCTCTCTCCAGGTAAAGTTGGACGATCCATTTAACGTTTTCTTCCCTTCATTACTCTTTGACTCCCTGTACTTCCTATAGCTCTTTATATCACTTGCTATGCAGTGAAATAACTTATTTTGGAAAAGAAAAAAGTGGAAAAAACTACTTGTAGCTCTGCTATAGATTAATTATGAAATCAAATCTATAATAGAGACCAGAACTATTAAGATCATTGGGAACCTATCTGTATGTTTAACTCCTTTAGTTATCAAATTTGATTAGGAAATACCTCTTCCAATCAGATAGGTTAGTGCAGAGTTTCAGTTATGGCATTCATCTAGTGACTCAGATGATAGAACCGATCTTCAGTTTATCTTCACCTTAAGACTTCCAACAGGTTTCCTGCATTTGGTCTTGTTATTCATCAATTTGTGTTATATCCCGGTTAATATCTCTTTTTTATCCTTAGTGTTTCCATCTTTCTAGGAAACAACTTTGAGCATACATCGTTTTCAACAGAACCTCTAAAATATCACTTCAAATGGTAATCAGATATCCTTGGATGTTATTTAAAAAAAAAAAGATATCCTTGGATGTGTTTTCTCAAGATGTTACAGTATCTAGAACTAGTGTTGTTTAAATTTCGGTGTACATGAAGCAGTGTAATGAGTAGTTTGCTTCTAGACTTAATAGGATGACTTTACTATGTAAAGGCTCATACTAACTTGTAGAAGTAGTGTCTAGTACTCAAAATTTATCAGACTGAGAAACATCATATCTTCATTTGAGCAACTTCTACATCCATTGATATGCTAAACTGATATTTCACCAGAAGAAGCATCTAGAATCAGAAACTGCATTAAGCTATGTTTTGACAATGAGCTTGCTGGTGCGCAGGAAGACCATCTGCTGATAGCCCACCTGATTTTGTCCCCCTCCCCCTTGTGTGGTTGTAGCATATGCTATCATAACATTTTTTTTTCTACCCCACCTTATCCTTTCTTTTCTGTCTGCCTGACTTCCATTTGCCAATCCAGAAATCCTCCACTTTGGGGAACGATGAAGTATCTTGCCGAGAAAATCCCAAAGGACACTTCGAGCAAGGTGCGGATCAACAGGGATTTGTACTCTTATGAAAAGTAAGTTTTCTTTTTGTGGCTTTGCAGATATGATGACACTAGGCTGCAGAATCGCTTATCTGAAGTAGATTGCTAAAGTTTGATATTGATTTTGAGGAACAGCATGTTTTCCTTGTATTTATTTTGAATTTGGCTTGACATATTACAAGATAGCCTCTTGACTTTGATGAAGTACAGAATTGTAATAGTAAGGGAAAGCCTTTTTGCTGCACAGCAAATTAAACCAACCTCTATGAGTCGAAATAAGAATTAAAAATTAAAGATAGACTAAACCATCCCCACCCACTTAAAAAAAAAAAGAAGCGCAGTTACGACATCCGATTACAAAAATGAGTAGAAATGCAGTAAGTGTTAGATATTATTGTCTCTAGGGAAGTTTTTAATGAAATCGTTAATGCATGTTTTAAGTTTAATCAATGTCCAATATAGAGTTTCCATGCTGGAAAAATACTTATACCTGAAGAGGATTGCTGTAGGATCATGGAAACAGCCCCAACGCTGCCAGACTTTGCATTGGCTCTCAAACCTGATGAATATCAGCTTCCTCATGTGGATGCATCTTGGGATGATGAAACTTACAGGCAGGGGACAGCTTAACCCGAACAAGCTCAAAGGGTGACTTATTCAGCTCATCAGATTTCAGACTCTGGAAAATCCAGACTGCTTGAAAATGCAGCATGACTGTCGTCATATCTCCAAGATATCAAACTCTTGCTATTCGCCAAAGGTCCCCTCTTTGCTGCACCTCTAGTTGAATGTGATCTCTATTTCTTCCAGTAAATTTAATCTTTATTTCCTTTTTCCAATTAGATGTATAGTCAACCCTGTGAGTGAGTTCTGTACAAGTCGCTTTGCTTTTGTTTGTAATCTTTGATCAACAGGAAAAAGGATGTATTTCTTTCCCAGCCTACCAAATAATTTCTAGTTCCACTTGTCCACCAACATGAAGCCAGAACCAATTGTGCAAGTTGTTTGAAAGAAAATGCTTTTGTATAAATTCCACAATTTGTGTCTTTTGAAGAAGCTTATTAGCTAAAAGAACCTCCTCTGTATCTTTACTTTTTTCAATTCCAATTTCTGACTTGCAAGTGTATAAAATGCAAACAGTTCTCCGGAAACTATTCAAATGCTAGATCTCTTTGGCACTGAGCCTTTAATGAGAAGTTCAGCTCCTGAAGAACTATAAATGTATCATCCTATGCTTGAAACTAGTGAAAGCAAGAGACATGAAAAGTAAGGGAGAGTTCAGAAAAGTGTTTTCTTCCTTGTAAGATTTCTTTGGCAACGACTCTTAATCAGAGTTAGATTTCTCATATGGTCACTCAACTAATAGATATTATCTCAGAAAGTTGCTCCTTTTGTTGAAAAAACTGGAATAGAAAAGAAATGCGGCTTTTTGAGATAATAGCTATTAATTGAGTGCACATTTGAAAAAATGTAGAATACTCAAGTTCTTGCAGAAATAGAAAATTTTCATCCTATGCTTGGAACTAGTGAAAACAAGAATGGAAAATGGCAATAAATAGAGGAAAAAGGAAGAGGGAGATGAGAAAGCCATTTTCTTCCCTTTGTTTTGGTGTTGGGTATAAACTGGAAAACTTGTGACTTCATTTCAACTTTTGCACAAAACAGAACAAGAGGATAGATAGAATAATTTACGACTCTTTAACAGTTTTCAGCAAGTGTATGACAGAACAAACTGCTGGAGGGCTGGAAATCACAAGCTTTTAGTATTATTGAATAAAGATACACACTCGAAAAAATATATTCTCGAGAGCCCTTCTCCACGAGTGAGCTCCGCTATTAAAATGTTGCATTTGAGTGATGCAGAGTTAAATACACCTTATAATATATGAACCACAGCTACTGCAACAATGAGTTAATTATGTTGGACCCATAAGTTACAGAAAAAGTTTTTGCTCAAAGGCTGATGATTTGACAGTAAAACCACAGTTAGACTCGATTTTCTAACTCTCACCAGTTAACCAGCTTTAATCACACAAGCTGTTTTTCTTTTCTATTTTTTAATTAAAAAAATTCCGGTGTCTACCGTGCATTACATAATAGCAAAAAAAAAAAAAAAAAAGCCTTTAAATGGCATCATTACATTGGGAACCCTGCAACTTATCAGGTTTTATGAAAACACAATTTTTTGGTGTGTTCCATATCTCTAATTATTTCCCAGAAATGACTATAACTTCCATCATTTTAACACGTTCTACAAAATCTATCTAATGAATGAATAGTGAAAAGACAAAAAAACGGATTACAGAAGGTAGTATTGGTGACATTGCACCTTTTTGGACCGATTCATTTTTTATCAAGGTACATCAAGAGAAGTACCCTTTTAAAGTCAAAACTCTGCAGAGCCGGGTGTTCGAGGGAAAGGTATTGCATCTCTGATATTGTCTATTCCAGTCGCAAATTGCACGAGCCTTTCAAAGCCTAGTCCAAATCCAGCATGAGGAACTACAGCATAAGAAAAGGAGATGTCCAATTATAATCTTATGCCGAAAATGAAAGACTATAACATGATGAAAATCTGGAAAATCAGCATTTATACCATAAAGGTATTGCAGGCAGGGTAACTACTTGAAGGCTAGTTGCAGCCAAATTTAATTTAGCAATATGAAAGTTGGATCAAGAATAAGGTGCATGCATTACAATGCAAAAGTTCTTGAACTTTATGAATGATGACAAATTCAAGCAAGAAAACACCAAATTTATTTAACAAACTCAAATCACCTGAACCATAACGTCGCAGATCAAGATACCACCAAAAGCTTTCTTTGTTGAGGTTCATGTTATCCAAACGTTCCTCTAGGTATTCAAGGCGTTCCTCTCTTTGACTTCCACCAATAAGTTCCCCAACCTGAAGAAGAAAACAACCTTGAGACATTGAGCTAGAACAATATTATATGTCAGACCTGTCCATCACTTCGACTGGTTCAACTTTATCAAATAAATGGAATCTGGACCTCTAAGTCACCTAGAAACAACAGTTAACAGTCAGGCATCACAAAAGAAAAATGTTAGTGGGTTCCTGGCAATCCCAACCTGTACGACATTGACTTTGCTCGGGATTCAGATTCATACACGAGCATTTCTTGCTATGAATAATATTATTGGGTTTCGCATGAATTCCCATCTCATGATAATGGGTGGGGGTGGGGAGATGGTATCCATGACCATCCTTTAAATGTAGGATTCCATGTCTCATCAGTTTCTAGACGATAAAAATAGGAAACAGCTATGCGTAAAAGAGATGGTTTATCTGATGTGAGATGTCTATTTTAGTGTAAATAAGTAATAACTAATGAAAAAACAATTTACTCTACATTTGTTCGATTAGTAAAAGAAAAAATATCCATGACAAGTAAAGAATTGACTAAGTTTATGGACTCTACCCGAGGTACCAACATATCCATGGCTGCAACAGTCTTTCCATCATCGTTCTGCCGCATGTAAAATGCCTTGATGTCCTGAAATTATGGAACACCGTCAATTAGCTGAAGTCCCCTACAGCTTCCATAATAAATGCAGGTAGGAAGTTAAACCTTCGGATAGTCTCTAATAATCACAGGACAACCACCAAAAGCCTCCTCGGTGATATATCGTTCATGCTCACTTTGCAAATCACATCCCCATTTCACCTACCATACGCAGAAGCAGCCATTACAATTTAAGGAGAAGTAACAGAAGTATGGATGGAGAGAGATTGGCCAAAAACTGAATGTGAGAAAGCATGCAAATAAAAGCACACCTACCGGGAAATCAAACTTCTTTTTTGCTTTCAATAGAAGCTCAACAGCATCAGTGTAACTCAACTGCACAAAATTCTTCTCAACAACATCCTGTGGAGCATATGATCAACAATGAGACCAACTATTAGGTGCACACTATAGAGTATAGAACCCCAGCGTTGTGGAGAACACGTTGAGAAGAAAACACATCAAATTCGTAGAAATTCATACGGTAAGTCTATTGATGATCCCTTTCTCAATCCAAGTGTCAAAAAAATCCATATCTTCTTTGCAATTCTCCAACACATATTGCACCTTCCAAGCAGATACGTCAATGCAAAAGTCTAGTTGTGAGAACAAAGTAGTAAATATTCACTAAGGAACAGCGAGATGTGAAAAGTAACATACTACATACTGGAGATAGGCAGTAGCACAGGCCATGTCATCATCCAAGTCCGCAAAAGCTAGTTCTGGTTCAATCATCTTACACAATAGAACTTGGTGTCAACATTTTATTGGTTTCTGTCCACATATATGGAAAGAAATATACAAAGAAGTTCCACTATGTTTTATCAGTTATAGTGTATAAGCTTACCCAGAATTCGGCTAAGTGTCTGGAAGTGTTAGAATTTTCTGCTCTGAATGTAGGGCCAAAGGTGTAGATCTGAAAACCGAAAGTCGACATTGTTAGAATATGAAAGAATGAAGACAAAAGCATGAAGGATTCTGTGTCCAAAAGATTAAGTTGGGAAAAATGGTTACAAGCCAGAGAAGGCAGTAGCATATGAAACTGAAAAATGAGAGGAGACTCTACATCGGAGAGCGCAGTAGCATATGTTTCACCATTGAGTTGCCCAGACACTGTTAAATATGCTCGTTTCCCAAAGAAGTCCTGCAACACGGATGCAATTTACAAGAACTAACTAGACAGTTATTACAGAAATCCAACATCAAATGCATGCACCTATTAACTTTCAGAAATTTAAAAGTTCACATTGCTTGTAAGGATAGAAACAGACTCGAGCCTGTTTGGATGGGCTTATAACTTTTAAATTATTTTTGTTATTTTGGCTTTAAAACAAGTGTCTAAAAGCAGTGTTTATTTCACCCAAACACTAAAAAACTGCTTAAAAGCTATTATTATGTAAATAAGCCACCAATCCAAACACGCTCTTAAACTGCTAGCTAATAGAATTCACTCTAAAATGGGCAAAGCACCCTGTTTGATGATTTGGCTTACTTGTGACCAGTCAACAGAACCAGATTCAGTAGTAGGAATAGCACTAACTGGTGAATCTCCACCTTCGTTGGAGTTTGGAATCTGTTTGGCAAATAAACATCTTACTCAAGCATGAGATATTTCATAAAAAAAAATATAAGGAAAGTTCTACTTAGATATTTGAATCTAACAAAGTATTGTAGGGATTTGAAAGAATTAAAAAGAGTCAAATAACGTTTATATTTTGCAAAGTTATATGCACAGTAGCAAGAAAAAAAATTAATCAAGAAGAAAGAGGCCAAGACAAAGTTAACCATAAGAAACTATCTATATATCTAATAGAAGACAAATAAAAGCATTATTTCCGCAAGACTAACAAGACTAGAAGTAGACTAAGCTTTAAATCTTTGTGTTAAACAGTCTAAACAACAATATGACAATGCAAAGTAACATGATGTAGACTTTTGATCTTTCAATGCATCATCCTCTTAACCGTCAACCAAGTTTAGAGCTTTGTTACTTGTTTCTCTTTTCCTCCCTTTCTTAGTTCTTAGAAGAGATAATTAATGTGAAGAGAGAAGGCACAAATTGTGCTAGACCACCAATTGGGAATTTTGGAAAAGACCACATAGATGATGTGTCATATTAAATCAACAATACATACCAATGTAGTAACACAGAATTGCTCGCCAGCTCCTTCACAATCAGAAGCAGTGATTATTGGACTTGAGACCCAAACAAAGCCATTTTCTTGGAAAAACTTGTGTGTGGCATAGGATAAAGCATTCCTCACCCTCGAAACCTAAAAGAAGCTGACATATCAAATTAGGGACCGGAAAAGATAAGGATATCGTCTTATAATAGAAGTTTGCATCCATAGAAACAGAGAAATCTATCAAACACAGGAAATGCAATGGCTTCTACGCATGCAGATTTTAACTCCCAAAGAATTTATATCCCATGGGTGATTTCACTAGTCAAGTTAATCACTCCTTCACGTTAAGTCTAATGCTGTAGATAGAAGACAAATTACCCTTTCAAAATGCCAAACCCATTGTGGTTTCATTAGCAAGATCAATGCTACCCAACTACCCTGTACTAGCTTCACAAGAAATGCTGAGTGCCACCTAATAGTAAACCAATAATTTGACATCTCCACAAAAAGGGGATTCGGACAATGTAAGTTAATAGGT